CTCTCCTCCACATCACGAGTAGACACGCCCCTTACTGCTGATTGGCTACAAGTTTGTTTTGCTACTCGGCCCGAATCAGTTTTCTAAAGCGTTTTTGAAAAATCGCTTACCCCACCTTTAATGTAGAAACAACATAAAGACAGTATATTTTTAATATTTGTTTAGTGTCATCATTTTTATGACTGAAGGAGAGTATCACTGATACCAATTCTACTGATGTCTATAGGAAATTGTTATTTTTTTTCCTAATATTTAACCATTGACTACGGCCATTCAACATTACAGTATAACTGAGAGCTATCATTTTTAACATTTATTAGACTTTAAAAAATAACAACTTTAATTTATGTGACCTTATGTGGAGAGATGCACTTTTGTTTGTCTTTTGTTTATTATTATTTTGTGCTGTATTGTTGGTTACTGTGTTATTTCGGTTTCAAAAGCCAGCAATAAAAAACACTTTAATATCTAAAGAGTGTTCATGTGATTTTATACATTAGTAATGTTGGGAAATGAATAAATGCATAATAATCGTCATAATCGTAAAACCGTGATTATTCCTCAGACAATAATTGTACCAACACAATCTATAATCTTTGCATCCCTAGTTGTGAGTGGGGTGGCCAACCCTAGGTCCCCCCCTGCGTTAATTGTGGTAAATATTTTTAATGCCATTAAACTGGAAAAATTAATTGCAGGCGTTAACACGCTAGTTTTGTACAACTCACATGTGAAACATATGTAAACCACAGAGATACTTCTATTAACTCTTTCTATTAATACTTCTATAAACACAGAATTTTCTGGGTTTCTGTGTTTTCCCTGTTATACACTAGGGGGGCACTATTACGCATCTCTTGAGTCTAGAAAGTGGCGATCAAAAACACAGACCAGGAAGACCCAGAAACGAGCAATCTCATATGGAAGCATATGCATATGAAAAATAATGCGATCATCAACACTAACCACATATAAATAAAAACTGCCTAATGTTACAGAGTGAAATGTCAATCCAGAAAGTGGTAAAGGCCTGTGCAAGCTTTGAGAGTACTGATGGAAGCCATCTACTGCATCTTTGCTTTGATAATATTACTGAATATGATCCAGATGTAGTATTTGATAAAAATGCGATTTTCTCAGCATTTTCCTTAAAATGTTTTTTTTTTTGTTTGTTTTTTTAAACCTACCCACATTCAAGTGTTGATAAAAAAAAAAACAATACTTGACGCTAGAATAAAACAGATTTTTTTTGTTTGAAAGTAAAGGGTATAATCTTTATTTTAATGTATTGCATGTTCAGATATTCATACAATAAAATATTTTGGAGGCCATGAAATTTTAGTGAAAATCAGCAAAAACGCTGGCGGTGGCTGGCAACTTTTTTCAAAAACGCTGGCGG